TCTGCCAAAAGATCCCTTTAACCTAAATCTTACACACTGAACCATTAAGGAATACAAAGTTCCTGCTTGTTTTAAGTCCGCTGTCATAATCACTGTACCTAATAAATCCAACATCTGTTGCCTGAATGATTTCAGAGCTGTCACATCAACTTCTGCAATAATGAAAATCTTTGAGCGGCTAGTATGTAAAAAAACTATCCAGCATGGTCGTCTTAGACCTGCACCAATTTGAATACAGGGCAATTAGGTCTGCAGAGGATGCTGTGTCACTTTGTCTCCATTCCATCCTGTAGCACTTAGAAGCCGCTGCAACATACGCACAGGTTCTCTTTGTAGACTACAGCTCTGCTTTTAATACCGTTCTATCCTACAAAATGTTTGGATAAGTTAAGGTAAGGTGTCAATCATCTTTATGTCATTGGACCGTAGACTTCCTACAGCATACAATACAGGCAGTCAAAATTAACAGACTATCTAAAATCGGGTTCCTAAACACTGGTGCCCCTCAGGGTTGCGTTCAATTCTACCTCTCCTGTATTCACTGTACACAAACAACTGCACTTCACATTGTGACTCTGTTAAAATCTTTAAATTTGCTGACGACACAACAGCTGTAAGTCAAGATGTCAGGGTGCACTCGGTTTGGCTTGTTGCAAAGTCAACTGAGACAAAAGTAAAGCTCTCAGTGTTGGAGGGATACTGGATACTGCTTGGTTTGCCTGGGGTGTTGATTTAGAAGACAGGGAGCTAAAATATTAAGTTTTAGGTGATCAAGCCTTTGTTCTTAAACACTGGTAGAATGGGTGTATATTTATAATGATAATAATTTATAATAGTGATCATTTGGTTTACATATCCGGGAGTTTTTTTTCTCCACAGTCTTAAGTGTTTTCTCATTGTGGGAACTAGTTGGTTTCTCTGTAATATTCTAAGATCTCAGCCTTACTTACAAGTGCCTTGAGATATTGTGATTTACTGGGAATAACATTGGATTGAATTGTATTGAATAGAAAAGGGAACAATTGGAGGAATTCTTCAGTAATCCAGCAATCTGTTTTCTTCTCACTATCAGTAAAAGCAATGGCCGGTTGTGTGGCTGGCCTGGTAACTTCCCAAACTTGTGTTTCCTTGGCTGGGCTCACCAACCTTTTTTAATTATTGATCTCTTTTTGAGCATGGTAAATATTTGGTGAGAAAATAAAAACTAATTGCGGAAGATGACTCTTCTAAGGCCTTGGCATACTTCCTAATATAATGCTAGTCTCCTGTTGGACCATTGTTTGTTTGGGGAGGCTGAAATTGTTAAGTTTTTGAACAATAACCTTCAAGTCACAGACAACAGATCAACTTACTCCTGAAAGAAAGACATCATTTGCTCCAAAGATCCATCAACTGGCTGCACGTGACTCCCACTAATACACACTGCACAGCTGAGCTGGGAGACACACAGACACATTTCATATTATTTATATATGTCTATATATGCGTGTGTAAATATTAGTAAAACCTTGACAGATGTCTTTGGAGAAGTCCCAATAAGTGACACTAAAGAGCCTCATCTTGCCATGGTAAAGAAAGTGAAAAATAAATTTCTGAGTTCGCCCAATTATCCAGATCTACTCCAATATTTAATGTTATAGGTTACACTCATATCCACATGTTAACAATCACTAGCTATAAATGTCCAGCATGGCTTAATTAAAATCCCACTGACTTTTGTATCTACACTATTACGCTAATACCGAAAAAAAAACTGTCTTTTCCCATTATCCCAAGGCTGGTTAAACATGTTAAGAGTGTTATAATGAGGCAATTAACCATGACAGTTTCAAATGACCCAAAAGTATTTTTACATCAGAGTCTTACTTATCTTACCTCAGTTTCACAGTTATAGGATTTTATCCCATTTCTCATAATAAGTTTAAAGATCTCTCAGTGAGTAGAACTCTTTGCCATCGGCACAACACTTGCCCAGTCATTGTACTTTGGTGCACACAGTTACTGTCAAAGATAAAATCTACATCTGTGGGGAACAATGCTTGTCTTACCTTAAAAACGTCAGAATAAACAGCCATTTTGAAGGTGATTGCACAACCTAAGGAAAGTCCCACCATGGCGATCCTACTGCCAAGGACCTGAGGATGCTGCTGCAGGATACTGTAGGCTGTCTGCAGCAATAAAACAATGTTGTAATTTGCATGGCTTCTTATGACTCATATCAAATATTCATATCACAGAACACACAACAAATCAAAAATTCCATCAACTGCTGATGAGGCTTTTAACATAGTTATCAGTTGTGACTTCATAACGCCACTGACCGTAAGATATCATTTTTCAGATTTTAAGGATGAAAATAAAAGCAATATAGGCTCGAGCACCATGCTACATCTTTACCTCAGTGCCATCATGATGAAAGGAATAGTGGGGGCCCTAACTTAACAGGGCCCCGATATGGGAGGAAACTAGGATTTAAAAATTGAAGCTCATTCTATGGTAAGAAAACAACAATTCATACAATTTAGATGAAACACACAAGTGAAAACGTCAATAGGTTTTTTTTATATTCAATTTCTGTCTGTAGCTTCCTTTCACCTAAATCTTATACACTGGACCTTTAAGCAAACATTCAAATGGATAGTAAATTAGCATGCTGTTGAGTGTGATCTTATTGTTCGATAGCCAACATTGTCTGAATGCTGTTAAAGGGGACCTATTATGCTTTTTCATTCTTTCTCTGTCCTCTAATGGGTTGTGTTTTTTGTAAATGGATACGGTGTGCATGGTTCACGGCTGTGAGAGTCTTTGCTGCTGCAGCAATGAATGGTTCAAAGAAACTAAAGCGTTTTCTGAACATTAGAGCCTGTAAACCTTTTTAAGTAGTCTCCCAAATTAAAATTATGAACCCAAAAAATGAGCATAATAGGTCTCCTGTAATGTTTGCCTTCACTGCTGTTGCACCAAATGAAAATGCTATTCAGCACAAGACAGATGCCGCTTGTGCCTTCATCCAACTTCCATTCATCTATTCTTCCATCCATTGTCTTCCACTTATCTGGGATGAGGTCATGCAGGTAATAGGCCAAGTAGGGTATCCCAGATGTCCCTTTCCCTAGCTATGCTTTGTAGCTCTCCGTGAGGGATCATGTGAAATTCCACATGTGTGCCTGAGCTCCTCACCCTTCACTCTCCTCAGTCGCCAAAGTGCTTGCTCACTGTGGAAACTGTTTAGTTTCTCTATACATTTTAAGGTCTCAACCTTAATTTGTTATGATTTGGCATAAATCCAAAAATCTTTACTAAATTGAATACCTTTTATTTAAGTTCATAAATGTTTTGCCATGGACTTCGGGATGCACATTGTAACCTTGTTAAGATAAGTGTCATAACAAATAAAGTTATTATTATCATATATCTAAGGCTGAGCCCAGCCGCCAGAGTAAACTAATTTGAGCCCCTGCTATTTGTGACCTTGTTCTTTTAGTCAATTCAGAGCTGATGACCAAAGGTGAGTTTAGGACATGATTGAGTGGTAAATGAAAAGCTTTGCCTTGTAGCTGAGCTCCTTGTTTAACAAAATGATCTAGTGCAATGCCAGCATTACTGGTGAGGCTGCGCTGACCTGCTGGACTGTGAGTAGTCAACTCTTCAGCAAGGCCTCACCACCCCATACTCCCTACTCTCAGGGTTATCCACATCCACACATGAAGCCTTGGCAACAGGGAGCTTCTTAACTAACTTGTTGCCAGGATATGGGCAGGACTTCCCAAGTTTTCAGACTCTGCCTCATCCAAAAAGGAAGTGTGGGTTTCAGGAGCTCCACAAAGTCCAGGTTCTTGGGTACCACCACCACTTGGTGGTGATTTCATAAAAGCTGCCCTCCTGTATCTGATGATACAACCAAAATTCGACACTGCCGTGTTTCACATACAGAGACAGACAGAGAGAATGAGAGACATTTTGGCAATTAGTGGGTAAATGTTATATTTGGATACTCATCAGGTTTACCTCAAAGTACTTGTTGTCCACTAACTTTCCAGTTTCAATGGTGATTTTATTTGTGAGGTAGTCAAGAGCAAGGGAGGCAAAGCCATGGGAGGCCAACAGCGCTGAGCGGTACTCTACCAACTTCCCTCCACCCCCCCACAGGTCCAAGACACCAGGAAAAGGTCCAGGTCCTTCAGATGATTCAAAACATCCAAAAGGGTCAATTTACATGACATGACATGACTTTAAACATTTCTAAGGTTCTTGCTTCTTTGGATTATATTTGATGCATGTATTGTGAGGGCTTTTGATTTGATAAGAGTAATAGTACCAGTAAGCTAGAATTTCATTGTACACCCTATTCAATGACAATAAAGGCATTCTTATCTTATCTTCTTAAAAGTCACAACTTGTTGAAGTTGAACTTTGATGCTAGTCCACGCCCACAGGTACAACGGTTTCTCTGTTGTGTGTTGGTGGGTCTACAAGACCATCCGGGGGTGCAAAATGCTAGGGGAATTTTACTGTGTCCTTCTCGAGCTATGTTTGGATGACTGCAATTTCCAGCGCCACCTGAAGCTGACCAGTGGTCGGCTTGATTATTCTATTTGAATCTTCGCATTACTGTTGTATATAATCACATCAAAAAACTTGGGCCATGTATGCTGTAAACACAGCATAACATGTGACTGATGCCAAATTGCAAGAAAAAAACAAAAATTAATGTAGTAGAAAAGCAGTGTCATACACAGGAAGACACCAACAAAGATGTCAAGAGAGTTTTGATTATAGGGGCTCTTGTACGCGCCGTAGATTTATGTTTTTGTAAACACGTCTGAGCGGAGAATCTCCTGCTGTGTTGTCCATGTGTGAAAGGCAAACTCCAGAGAAAGTCTTGACCTCAGTGAGCGGACATCCTCCGGAGTTCATGTCTGAAAACAGTGAAGGTCTGTTCTTTGTTGCACTGAGGTCTTTCATAACAACATTCTGATTAACCTGACAATAAACCTTAACTTGAACCTGTTGTGCAGGGTCATTGTCTGAACCATGCAGCTGGATAACAGCTGCATGGTTCATGGCTCAGTACTCTGTCTCTTCCTCTGGTCCTTCAATACAAGTACTTGTACCTTCAATACAAGTACTTGTACCAGTGACAACACTAGAGGTAAACATCTCTTTGCTTGTGCTTTGCAAATATCTCACAGTCTGATATAGGCACCACCTAAATCTTAACCTAGACAAGACTGAACTCATATTGCTTAAAAAAGGGGGAAAATAAGACCTGTCTATTGTGATTGACAGCTCTGTGGTGGTGTCAAATCAGACAGTGTACAATTGAGTTGTGACCCTGGATGATGAACTGTCATTCTCCTCAATCATCACTGCAGCTGCCAGCTCCTTTAGCTTTTGCAATGTACAAAATCCGAATGATTCACCTTTTCACTACACTGGTTCCCTACTGCAGCTACATCCAGTTCAAACACTTTGACGCTGGTCTAAGCTACATGGACACCTCTCTCACGCCGCTAGACTCTGTTATTACTCCACCTGGGGGCAGGAAAAGCATCGCAGTGAGTCCACCCTCTGTGATTGGGATCCTGCGGACGCCAGGCGCCATGTACCATCGCTCCACCAATACAGAGGCCAGCGACACTTGATCCACAAACCCCTCAGTCTGGTGACCCTGGTACACTGAGATTGTGACCTCCATGGGAATCTGGATGTTCAACCTCCTCATCCTGAAAGATGATGGGAGAGTGGACTTTGATACCAATAACTGAATCAGTACTGATTGGCATTATCTAAGTAGTTCTGGCCTGGTTGCATACCTGAGCCCAGGTTTGCTGCCTGGAACTGGTATGAGGCTCCACAATAGACCCATTGGTTCAACCCCCGAATATGTCCCACCCAGACTGAGATCCTCTGAAACTGAAAAAAAAAATGTTTATTCTTTATTTGCAATTCCAGCATTTTATTAAATGTTTCCTCAGACATTTTAATATAATTTGTCTATGTCTTGAAGCATGTACCGTTCACAGTCCCAGTGGCATCAGCAGTGTAGTGACCAAACGCCTCCCATTTGTGTCCATCTTCAGACTGGTGGAAGGCGTGGACAGTCAACTTGAAACCAGGTGGACCATTCTGGATGAGGACAATGAACTTCTCATCCATTAGTCCTCTGGACGGCTGGACCGACAGACTCAAGCAACATTGTGTCCTGTCCATCGTGAACTGAGCAGCCTGAAAAAAGTCAAAAGTCAGGTCAAGTCCAAATTTTATTATAACTCAGCAAAACACAAATGCAGGTCTTAAAAATCAATAAAACTATAAACATTAAAAGAATTGCAGCAATTTAAAAGATAAAGCCAATGTGGTATTTTCTAACTACATATAATTCTAGTGAGAAGAGATGGGTTTTCAGAGGTTTACGATCAGCTAGTTAATAAAATCAACAAAAGAAGACACGTCTCTCTGTCCCTGAACTTGTTCCTCCACTTCTAGGAAGTGTGCACAGCCTCCCTGCAGGTCTTCCTTGAACACCTCAGGTTTCCTCTGAAAGGAGCGGACAGCTGTCATCAGTTCACAAATTGAATTGTCCTTGCCCTGCAGCCTCAAATTCAGTTCATTCAGATGTGAAGTGATATCAACCAAAAAGGTATAATATATATAGAGTCTATATCATCTAAACGAGCAAATTAGAAAAAACCCACAACACCTGCTTGGAGATCAACCGATTGCATCTGGAGAACCCCCCGACACACACACACAGTTGTCGTGAAGGAAGAACTTAGTGATTGAGACTAAAACCGTTTTTTGAACCAGGCTGCACTTTCGTTCCGCATTGACCTCACAGCTCAGCCCGAGTTGTTGCCGCTTGGGTCAGACCAGCCGCCTCGACATTACTGGTAAATACACTGGAGCAGCGCAGAGGAGGCTCAGCAGAGGAGGCTCAGCAGAGGAAGCTCAGCCGCCTCACGCTGCGCTGCTCCACACTTCCCCGTCATTAGACTACAGTTGAGCTGAAGTCTTACCTGCGGAGAGGCTCAAGAGCTGAGAGGCTGTGGAGACTCACTGGAACCTCAGCGATCCTCAGACTGCGGAGGACTCCAGGAAGGGTTAGGGTTAGGTAACACGCGAGACTACTTCCGGTTTTCAAAATAAGGTGTAATAATAATAACTTTATAATAGTTATTATTTGTGAGAGAGATGGGTGGAAAAGAGTTTCTATTGTATCAAAGCATTTACAACACAATTTGCAGCGTGAAGCTGCTTCAATTTGTACATTGAAGCAGCTTCACGCATGTAGTTCGCAGGGCTGTAAAAACATATTGCGCCATAATTTCTGGCAATAACTGATGGATCTGAGTCCAAGACAAACATGACTAGGTACAATGTTCACACAAGATTTCAAGCATTTTTACTGTATAACTCTAGAGAAATTCCAAATTAAATGTCTTCACAATTGTATGCTGAAATAGATCGTTTCATACTTGAGGTTCTGTAAAATCACATTGCTCCATAATTACGTCATCTTATATTTATAAAATCAGTGACATTGATATTAGGGAGAAGATTTAATTTTTTATCATGCAAGAAGGTGTGGCATAATAAATGCAGAAGAAAAGCAGAAAAATCAAAACAGTAAAAAAAAAAAAAACATCATCAAACCTTAAATAAAAATCTAAATAATCCAAAGACTGAGAAACACTAGGGGACCAAAACAGCTGGAACAAACAACTGATAAGGATCCAGACAAACAAGACAAAGTGAAGCACAGAGACTTCTTTACACAAGGGAGGCAGGGATGATTGAACACAGGTGAAACACATAAGAAACAAGTGCAGACGGTCACACAGGCAGGAAACAGGAGAAATAAAGTTAAAGACACACAAGGAATTCAAAATAAAACAGGAAACAGAACTCAGAATGAACCGCCAACACAAACCAAATCTAAACACAAGAAAAATCTCCAATATCAAAATGTGTCAGAGAAAAGGCCAAAAGTTATTTGACTAACTAAAGCTCAGAGTCATGACACTTTGAGTGGTGTTTCCCTGAGTATCCTCCTCTGGATGATCTGTCTTGTCAGATGTGGATGGAGCTTTAGTGTGGACATTGTCTTGTGGATTCTATAAAATTGAACTTTAATGTAAGCATTTAATTATACTGTATACTCGTATACAGCCAATTACTAATAGCTAATTGATGGCTCTCAAATACATTTGCCTTTCCGTCAAATTTACTACAAGATGTTTTGGTTGTACTTCTGTGGGCATATAGGCAGCTCTTTGCTGGGTAAGTCTGTCTGTCCAAGGTCACCTGACAGGAGATTAAACATGCCTTTTTAATTTGGTTACTGTAAGAGCTATTAAAAGTAGCATGGAAGAAGCACAGCCATATAAGAGCACTAACACAGGAGTAGGCCACACCATAGAGCAGCCTGAGGTAAGACAGTTTTTCATCAATAAGGAATGAAGGTTGGGCTAAAATGCACATTAGGATCACCATCCGCCTCAAGTTGTTCCGTCCAAGGGACATTTTTAAAATGATGTTGGAATAGTGTTGGTCCCACATCATTCTAGCAAGATTTTTGCAATAAATATGCATGTGAATACAGTCATAACAACAACAACACTCATTTTATCTTTTGTTTAAATGTAGAGCAAGAATACAGCTGAAATCCACAGAATGAATACATACCGTCTGCACCTCAATGGATATGTCTTCGAAGTAAATATGTCCCTCTTGACAGTAACTCTGGACATTTTTTAAATGTTTCTCAACATTCTTTCCACTGTGGGAACTGGAGAAAACAGTGGCAGCACTGATTACGACTTCATTAAGTTCTTAGAGTGTTGTGGCCTGTGTGATTAGCACAAACACATGCATGGCTTGGTGACAATGTTTGGAGGCACTGCAAAGCAAAGTGTGTAAAGTGAGTCTTACAAAGATTTTCGACGTGAAGACATCATAAATTATTGGAATATTTATGGGCAGCAATCGCTCACTGTTTTCAACATAGGTCCTATGCATTGAGAAATTTAGCCAATTAATGTAGGCCATTATTTTGGAAAATCTCAAATTTAATATTGTGAAAATACTTGACTTTCAGTCTTATTTAAGTCAGAGTTATGTGAGCTCAATATATAATCAACACAAGTTATTATTTAAAATTAATGAATTAAATAAACAATGAATGAGGTAATTTCTCTCTTTATAGGGACTTTTAATGTATGAGTGACACAGGTAGAATATTTCCATACTTCTATGATAAAAAACTTTATCAACACCTTAATTTGAAGTCCAGATGTCGTTATATGTGTCATTTCACATTGACTTTTCCAAACCTGATGCAGTTTTATAAATTGTGTTGTAAATGCCTTGATACAATAGAAACTTCAAGTTACATAAAGTACAGAGTTGAAAGTTATTCATATTTTCTAAACACAGAGAACAATAATAAAAAAGAAAAGATGATATTCATTTTAGTGGAAGCATCATTCAGGACTGACAGACACCCATATATATTACATTGACGGGGACTGTTGAAATATGCACCACCTTGACATAACAAACGACAAATATCAGGGGAATTAATTGAAACATTGACTAAAGACAATGTTGTGCTGCATTAGACTTTAACTAAAACACACAGTAGAAGCACAACATAAAAAGATCATTATATAAAACACACTTTTAACACAGCAAAACCTCAGTAAAAGACTTGCAGGCTTGTACATGAAGGCAGACTGGTGATCAGTGACAGAGGACAGTCAACACAGACACACAGAAGACAGTAAGATGTAGTTGAGTTTTAGTTTTAGTGCTGACAGAACATAAAGCAAATGAACTGTTACTTTCAATGACCTCTAAATAAACTGTATGTGACCAGTTGTCTATATGTGCTTGTTCTTGTGTCGACAAATTGTCTAAGCGGAGAAGTCATGTCTCTTTAGAGCCAGGGCTTTTCATATTACTGTACAAAAGAGAGTACCGTGCTAGGTGGCAGCCTGTTACAGCAGCACCTGTTGGTTTTTTCTTGAATTGTGTCTTTTTGCCACTTTATTCTTTTAATCATTCTCAGTAATTGTCCTGGGGACTTAGTGGAAATGGCTACATGTTGGTTTGTAACTTTCTTCCTCATTCTTCCTCACTAATTTCCAAACTCTTTGATACGACGAGCTATGCAGAGAGGAGGAGAGCATTGTTTACTGGCACAACCAACTGTTTGTACAATACACCTGTCAGACGAGCACCTTAGAGAAAGTGTATTTAGTTAATATCTGTCTAAATACATATACTTCCTCCTGTGGGGCGCCGGCCAAATGAGACTGAGTGTAAGTCATTAAACCTTTGGCAACCACGAGACCTGAGGCTGCTTTTTAATTAGCTGTTTCAGAATTTCCACACCATGCAGCTCTCTGCACCCCAGACACTCCCATTACATTATTGCTGCAGGCTTAGCATTGCTCAGCAGTTCAATAAAGGCTTATTGGTTTATTGTGTGTTGTGTTTGTGGAGGTAGCTGGTAGAGCACCTTCACCCGGACCAGAGGACCAATTAGTGCAGGTGAGAGCTGTTAGCTGATTGATCTTCTGGTCCAAAAGGCACCGGCTGAGCTGCCTCAAGTAGACACTCCCAGTCACGGAGAGACACACGGAGGACTGACTCATGTGGAGAGACACTGAGACTGATAGACTGAGTTGCAAAGCTAGTTGTTTATGTTGAGTTTTCATTTATGTTTTACCGGTTGTTTAATAAAGTGATGCTGCAAAGGAACCCTTTCGTCTCTAGCTGTGTGTAGGAGAGTCCTGTGGCATGGTCATTTGCCACAGTGTTGTTTTAGTTAAGTCTGGCTTTGGTTTGTTTGTTCCCCCCAACACTGAACCCCCCCAAAAAATTGTATAACAGGCTGCCACTGGTCTGAACACAAGTTGACAACTCTGTGGTGGTGTCAAATCACACAATGAAGGTGTGACCCTGGATGATGAACTGTTGTTCCACTCAATCATCACTGCAGCTGCTAGCTCCTTTAGCTTTTGCATGTACAACATACAAGTTATCCTGATTCTCCTCTTTTCCTTTCACTACACTGATTCCCTTCTGGAGCTACGTCCAGTTCAAACATTTTTATACACTCTGGTATGAGATTGCACAACAGACCCATTGGTTCAACCCCAGAATATGTCCCACCCAGACTGAGATCCTCTGAAACTGGAAGTAAAAAATATTATTCTTATGTTCATTCCCCATCTGCAATTCCCTCATTTTATAAACATGTGTTAAATCAAATGTTTTAAAATGATTTTCCTTCATTTTTAATGTCTAAGTCTTGAAGCATGTACCATTCACAGTCCCAGTGGCATCAGCAGTGTAGTGATCAAACGCCTTCCATCTTCACACTGGCGGAAGGCGTGGACAGTCAACTTGAAACCAGGTGGGGCATTCTGGATGAGGACAATGAACTTCTCATCCATTAGTCCTCTGGAAGGCTGAACCGACAGACTCAAGCAACATTGTTGCCTGTCCATCATGAACTGAGCAGACTGAAAAAATAATCAGAGAAAAATACGTCAAAACATGAGTATAACTTTAGTATAACTAAATCTATCTGACTGGACAGATAATGAACAACAATGAAAGGACAATATTTAAACAAAGTAAATTCAGTTCACCGAAGTCAAAGTCAGGTAAAGTCAAATTTTATTGATATAGCTCATTATAAAAAAAAAAAACAGTCAATCAAAGTGCTGAACTGGTCAAAAATACCATAAAACTATAAACATGATAAGAATAAAAGTATTGCAGCACAATAAAAGATAAGGCCAATGTGGCATGTTCTAACAAAGAATAATTCCAGTGAGAAGAGATGGGTCATCAGGTGATCAAATTCCTAGTGTCTAAACTCTTCTGTTCCAGAAAGTCAGCCACTGCAAATGGCTCGGTGTATATGTGCCTGGATCTTGGACTGTCCAACAGCATCTAGTTGGTTAACTATGTCCATCAGTGCTATAGCTAGGATATAATGATGTAAGAGATATATTCGATAAAGTGACACTAACCCATTTAAAAGCTTAAAAACAAGCAATAATCATGAAACATATAGGAGGCATTGGTCTGTTTAATGTACCAGTAATG